TCTATAATATCTCGCTTAATCTACAATGCAAAACAAAATTTTGAAATTAGATTACAAATCATTGGCTATTCCCAATTTACAACCAAGCTTTAATCGTTAACGTTTCGTACATGCATAAAATGAAGAATAATAACTATTAGTGTATGGGAGAGAAGCCATTAGCTGTTTCATCATCATATATATGTGCACATAAAAGCAGATTTAATTCGTTTCACATTAAAAAAACAAGTTTAATATGTCCTAATGTTAATATCTTTATCTTTCCTAATAAACGATAACATTAGACAATTATTTTGTGTTTTCGACTATTTTATGATGCTGATAACTGATTAGATTGAATGTTAGATGGTCATCAATCATCCTAAGCTATATATTCATATATTTTAATGACAAATTTCATATATTGAACGAATGCAGGTTTTCTAGACCTTTGCGAGGCGTTCGGGATAATTTGACACCTTCTCATGTCTCTTATCTTTTTTAAGAATGTTCTGTTAGTTTCTTCCTTATTGTGCATTTTGCGACGATGAATTATCTCCATTTTCTCCCCATTTCATCTAGAATCTTGCTTGGAAATGAATAATATCCGCTTTACCTAAACTTAACGTGGCCTTCTTTGAGATTAGGTTATTGATTTATGACTTTTCCATAATGACCTTTTCATACGGGTAGCTATTTTTCAAGATTTGCTTTACGCTCTAATATAGTCTGCATGGTTTTTGCCGAATTTATTGGATTTCACTATCTTCCTCATTTTTTGAATTATAGAATACGAACCAAGGATAATCTTAAGGTCACAATTTTTATTTTGAAGAATAAATCAATAAAATAATTACTACATCTTCATGGCAGTTCTTTCCTCTGTAAAAAATTGTGCTTTTCCGGACTTCTCTTTTATTTCGCTCCTTCAAATCTATGAAATACTTTTCGGCTTACCAAAAGTCTGCCTTTACCCAAAGCCCTCAAACATTGGAAAATAGAAGAGCTGTGTGTTAAGCCCTGTTTATTATTCACTTTCCTCATAATCATTGGCTTCTGGGCGAAGCCCATGTGCTATGAAGCACAAGGTTATTGCCTAATCGTGTGCGCCTCATCCCCGACATTCATG